CAGTGTCTCATATAGCTAGGGTGGCCACAAACTTCCTGTTTAGTATGGCCCTATGTGTACAGTTTTGCCTGCATGTATGTTTTGTACCACTATGTTCCTGGTGCCTGTAAAGTCCCAAAGAGAGTGTTGGATCCCCTGGAACTGGAGCTACAGGTGGTTGTGAGCCGCTATGGCGGGGTAGGGACTTGAACCTGGGTCCTCTGGAAGAATAGCCAGTGCTTTTAACTATTGAGCCGTCTCTCCAGTCCTGATCTTGAACTCTCTGTTCTTCTATTTGCACTTCTTAAGTACTGGGATTACAAGTACACACTACCACATCTGACTCCCCCAAATCACTACAAAGAATTTCATATTTGTGTGTAGTTCCTCATTGAAAATAAAATTTATTCTAAGGAAATGGGAAGACATGGTCAGATATTAAGGGGCATTCTTTGCAGCATTAGAGATTTATTTATTTTAAAACTATGTGTATATGTATATGTCATGGTTGTGTAGATACCTGAGGAGGCCATAAGAGGGCGTCTGATGTCTTAGATCTGGAATTAGAGACAAGTTGCCTAATGCGGGTGCAGGGAATGTAACTCATGTCCTCTGCAAGAGCAGTATTGGCTCTTATTCACTGAGCCATCTCTCCAGCTCCTTTATTGCATTACATAGAATAGTGCAACCACCCCAAACCTCACAGTAGATGACTGGTGAAGTAAATTATTATTTATTTAAAAAACAAACAAACAAACAAACCAAAGAAATTACAGAGCAATCGAAATGATGTAGAAATCTATTTCTGGGGTATGGGAAGAATGGTATGTGGAGAATGAATTCTGAAATTATATATGTCTATATATGATGTTTAGTTATGCAAAAAAATTCAAGAAGGCTAATACACTAAAATGTCATATATGATTGGATAGCAGCCTTTATGTGATTTTTATATCCTTCATTGTGCTTATCTGATTTTTTGATTTTTACTTTTTTGATAGCCTAGGTAGTTAAAAAACTGAAAATAGTATTGGGTCCCTTTAAACACTTTGAGTGATGTAGGAGCATATTCAAAGTTAAAGAGCAGATTTAAAACTTGTGTGTTATATGATGCTAGTTTTGTTGAATCCCTTTTGTGTCTATGTCTGAATTTTTCTTTCATTTTCTGTCTTTGAAAATGTAGTAAAGTGTCCAAGAAATAAAGTAGCTGGGAGCAGAGACTGGACTAGTGTATGTTCCAGTGAACACCAGTACCTTCTATGTGAGATAAAAATCTCACAACCATTTGGGCTTCCGTTAATTTTCCTCTTGCTTTGGGAGTTGGCTCTCTGGGTTGTAAGGACACAAAGTTTAATGGCTGAAAACAGCCACTGCCTTGCTGGCCACCTTTTCCTTTCACTTTTTACTTGGAACTCAGCGTAGGCAGCCCTTGCTAGGCCCTGTGGCTCTGCAGTGGTAAGCAAGTGACACTGTGCTTGGAGCATGTCCACTTGGAAGAGATAGTGAACACTATTCGAAAAATATACAATTGAAAATTGTATTAGCCATTGGGGGAAAATAACCTAAAATAGAGTATTATATAGAGAAAAATGCAAGGGTAGATCAGGGAATTGGTTCTGATAAGGGCATTAGAAAAGCCTTTAATGAGCGAGTGGTATGTAAAGCCATCTAGGAGGTATGAGTTGACATTAGTCACACAAAATGTGGACGGATAAGAGCTCGAGGATGAGGATGATCACATACAAAGTTTTTATGCAAAAAGAAATAGGTTTGCATGACAAACTGAGCAACAGCAACTAGTGTGGCTGTAGGGTACAAGGTCAGGCCGGAAGAGTGTGAGAAGTCTGGATTTTACTCACAGGGCATCTTAAAAGGCTTCTTGGGCTGTTCCTAGGAAAAAGAAGCTGGGTGCAGCAAGAGAGAATCTGCATGGTGAGCTGGAAGCATTTGAGTCTGTGTGGAGATGGTGACAAGTCACAACTTCAGGGGGGAAGAAAGAAGGTGGATTTTGTCGGTTGTGTTGAGAGGGGATGGAAGCGGGTCAGGTTAGAGGCAGTCAGTGTGCTGCTCATCCTGTGTGTGAACTTGGTAGATTGCACAGATGGCACCATGCTTTATTTGGGAATGGGTGGGTAGGGGAGGGTTATTTAGCATTGGATGTGTTTACTCTGAGGTCCGTGCGAGATTCCTCAGTGAAAAAGGTGAGATGAGGTCTGTTACTCAAGGGACATAAGCACCTGCAATGGAGATGTATATTTCAGCTATATGGGTAGATAGGGTTGCCCAGGAAGAGGATGTTGAGAGAGTGGGAGAGAGACTTAGGAAGAGAGGGTGGGGACAGAGACACACAGAGACGGAAACACACACCTTGAAAAATGACTCACTGATATTAGTCTCTCCGTTTTACAAATGGGGGACTCCAGGTTTAATAGGGAGGGGCAGCTAGGTCTTGATTCAGAGCTTATGCCTTTCTGTCTCATCTTAGAGATTTTCCCGTGTGATGGCGTATTAGTTTTCTCCAGCTGCCATAAACCATCACAGATGGAGCTGCTAAAACAACAGACATTTATTTTCTCACAGTTCTGAAGACTTCCAGTTCAAGATCAAGGTGTTGGCAGATCTGGTTTCTCCTGAGGCCTCTTTCCTTTCCTTGCAGATGGCCACTTTCTGTCTTGTCCTCACTCAGCCTTTCCTCTGTGTCCCTGCACTCCTGCTGTCTCTTGCGTGTCCTAATCTTTTCTTGCAAGGACACAAGGAAGATTGGTCCAGAAGGCACATCGCTGTAATGGCTTCATTTGAACCCAGTCACCTCTTTTAAAGGCCTTATCTCTTGGTACATTCACTTTTTGAGGTTAGGGTTTCAATTATGAATTTTGGGAAATGCAATTCATGACAGATGACTTCTCAGGGTATAAAGGTAGGAGAGGTCATCTAAAACATCGTGAAGATGTAAGTAGAATAGGAGAGAGTCGGGGATTGCTAGACATGTCCTAACTAAGATCACTTGTGTTTGGAGATAATCACATGCATCCAGTCTGGCAGTTATCTGAATGTGCAGCAACCGATTGGTACAGTGTAAAGAGCAAGGCTTCTGGCGATGTGCTGGGTCCTCCTGGGCTTATGGGCCAGCCGAAGCATCATCTCCTGTGTACAAGGTTGAAATGCAAATGAGCTTTACTCATCTCTCCAGCAGAATTACACGTTACTATTTGTCGGAGTTCCTTCTGATTATTTTCTTTCCTCCTCCTTCTCATCCTTTTCTTCATCTTCTTTTAAATGTGTATGGGTGTTTTGCCTAGGTGTGTATAAGTATACCATGTGTATGCCTAATACTTTTGGACGTCAGAAGAGGGCATCAGATCTCCTGGAACGGGAGTTGCAGATGGCTGTGAGCTGCCATGAGGGTGCTGGGAATCAGAGCTAGGTCCTCTGGAAGAACAGTCAGGGCTCTTAATTGACGAGTCATCTCTCCAGCCCCATGATTATTTTCAAGTAGTTGAAATGAAGAGAATTAAATCTCTGAAGTTTTGTTGGTTCCCCAGTATAGAAAGTAGTTTAGCATTTTCCAGCCTATTCTGTAAACCGTCGTTCATGATTGTGCATGCACTCTACCCTTTTCTTCTTTTCTCCCACCTTCAATCACTGGCAACTTTCTGAGTACTTCTAGGTGTTCGGGATCTAAGGATAAAGAATCCCTGAGTATTGTATCTCTCTCTCTCTCTCTCTCTCTCTCTCTCTCTCTCTCTCTCTCTCTCTCTCTCACACACACACACACACACACACACACACACAGACACACACAGGCTAAAGCTGTTAACCACTAACTCACTTAAATCTAAAGACCATATTGGGTACGCACTTAGTACTAGGCAGTGTCTTTAAGATTGGGATGGAAACCTAAGCAAGATGCCTCTCAGCAAATTCTTAATTTGATACAGAAAAGTAAACAGGTAAGTGGACAGAGATAACACTACATGAATATGTAAACTATACAAAGGTCTCCAAGAAGGAAGGGACTGTAGTGTCTGCTTTCCCATGCAAATTACTAAAAAAGGACACCCATTCATCTCATGAACATATTTGAATGCTTGAAATCATTGTGTAATGATGGCTTTAAAGCTCTTTAATTCTAATCAAGCCACTGAGTTGGGGGGATCTTTGACTTTTCTCCTCATTTCAGCTTGCTCAAATCCTGTACTATCATCAACTTCCTTTTTGGGTAGTAGAACAATGAATAATATTCCTGAAATTCTCCACAGAGACCTGCTGAGTGCTAAAAGTAGAGAAAAGTCACAGTAATAAAACATTATTGTGGTCGTGGGTGAGAGAGAGTATAAGCTGACCTGGAATATATCTCAGATATCTGGGACTTAAAAAATTATATATTAACACAAGTATTTATTTTTAAAGTCATTACAAAAATTATGATGCATGACAGGTCAAAGACACTTGGAAGAAAATGGATTCTGTTAATTATATAACTGATATATTTTCAGGTATTACCTATTTATAGTTTATCTCAGAAAAAAATTGTTTATAACTAAATACCATGGGACCATGGGTTAAATGAAACAATAGATATTAAAGTTGTTGCTGTCTTTGGAGATGATGTGTTGTACAAACCCAAGGGCATCTATCTGCAATGTAAACTTACTTCTCTGGGAGAATGCCCAGAAGTAGAGAGGAGAAAAGGCAAGTCCAATAGATGGAACATGTAGACTGTAGAATAGTGATTAGCCCAACAACTGCTGACAGTTGCCTTGATGTTGTGTAATGAACTCTTGCTGTGTGCTTGCTGGCTCAATCTCAGAACTGTATTCTCGAGTGTCGTAGCGGAAAGAGCACTGGCTCATGAGTCAGGAGAACGAATGGCTAGCCCAGCTCTACTGCTAGCCACCCGCGTGCCTCATTTTCCCGTCTTAAAATGAAGTGGTTATGGGAAAAGAGCTCTAAGAATCTCCATGTTCTGCTGTTTTTTTTTTATTCTGTGGTTCTCCGTCCCACACCTGTCAAAAGCATTTTGACTTTCTTTAAGTTGCTTAAGCCAGCATTTCAGTTAGATCCATCCAGGAGCTTATTCCTGCTGGCTGTTGGGAACAGCAAAGCCTTGCTTCTCCGGGACTTCATATGTCTTCTACTAATCGCTGACAGTGAGCCATACCACCTAAGAGGCTCCTTGGGTAGCCTTTAAAGATTGAAAGGACAAACGGACAGTGTTGAGAACTGTGGAAGAGGAGACCAGAGAGACGTTGATCATCATGGCTCCTTGGGATTTGCAAAGAGGAATGACTAGAGCTGGGCCATTCACTACAGCCAGGTCAAAGGTCAGGTCAGGAATGTGGACAATGCTGATGACTCCAGGTAGGTGTAGGAGGGTAACTACACATCTAGTCCCTCCTGTCTTGAGACTGGGAAGCCAATCTCAGAAAGCTATTAGGATGGCTCCTAATGTATGCAATTCATTGGAAGGACAATGTGACCTTTATTGTTTGTGTTTTTATTACCACACAATCATTGTATTCTTACTTGATACACACCAAGTAAATATACTCTTAGCATATTCATACAGTTAAGCATTTGTTAAACACACTTTCATGATCACTTACTGAGTTAAAGAAGACCTGATTTTAATTGATGCTATTATACAGTGGACACACATTTTTGTTTTTCAGGGAATTTTAGAGTTTTTTTTCTCCTTGATATTAACTAGAACTCTCTAGTAACAGAGACTTATGTTTATTATTTTTGATAACAGGAAGTAAATTTGGAGATAACTAGAAAGGATTAGAATAATGCTTTCCTTAATGATTGAAAAAAGAATAGATAGTTTGTATAGGGCTATTAATCCAGAAAGTAAAAATAATTTTCATTGTTGAATGCAGTTATAAGAAATTACTGTCTTGTATTAGTGTTTCTATCATGAAATTCCAGTAAAAACTTACATGTGTTTTTAAAAATATGGATTGACTTCTCATACATAATTATTCACCGTGTGTTTGATACATATTACAAGAAGGTTCTTTTCTTTCTTCTTTTTTTTTTCTTTTTGCTTTTATCTAGTTGCTTCCAAGATCCGGTACTTGCAGGAATATCATAACAGAGTTCTCCACAACATTTATCCAGTACCATCAGGAACAGATATCGCAAACACCCTGAAGTACTTTTCCCAAACCTTGTTAAGGTAAGCCTTACATAACCTTGACTTTGAGAGAACTATTTGGTAGTACTGCTGAATTTATTGGGACCTAATTTCACACTGGACTGAAAGTCTTGACAGGCCTTAGTGTTCTGTCAGAAGAGTCTGGACTCCAACCCTCTGGGTGTGTCTAGCAGATCAGACCCCAGCATCCTTGGAGACAAGGGCAGCAGGGTTGTGGCCTGCTTCCTCAGCTCAGGGTTTTTTTTTTATTTTTGGGAAATCTACAAATGATTAAAAAAAAAGTGTGTTTGACACAGTTCGTCAAGATTAAGAAAGTGAGATTTGAGTCTTTAAAATTGAGACCAAGGAGCACTTAGAGTCTAAAAGAAATGGAGAGTTACATGGTGGGTTAGACTTGCTGCTAGTATGTCCTGGTTTTCAGATCAGTGCAGTGACAGCAGTTGCTTCCATCCTGTGTGTCACAACTGATATTTAGTGTCATGAGGACAAGGGAGCAGCTCTGCAGGAGCTCCTTTCACCCGAGGGACCACTCTCCTTTATACTTGCCACTAATACTAACAAGCAAAGATGAGCCTTTTCCAGCAGTCTAGCTGTCTTTGACAAATAGAATTGAAGAATTCAGAAGATTTCACTGATGGTTACACCCCAGCACTTGGTCTCCCCATTGCCACAACCCCTCTTTGAATCTGTCTTGGGACTCACTGCCACTTCTGTTATTTAGATAACAGCAAGAGTTCTAAGTCAACTATGGGGAGGACATACTTTGGAGTTTCCAGTGCCCTGACGCTTGTGTGCAGACAGGCTGACACTCACAGAGAGGGACATCCTGCACACAGCCAGCCAGTTTCTGGTCTTCGCATCGCTATCATTCTTCTTTGTTTTGAATATTGTCTGACACTTAGAATCCTTGGTATCCCTGTCCTAGTGTGGAGGGATTCTATCTATCAGGTTCATGATGTCTGTCAGTCTCCCATAGTTGGCCTGGAGCAGGCCATTTCCCCTTTTCAAATGGCATAGAATAGTTTAGCCAGGTTTTCATAGTAATAATCAGATGAATATGTGAACTGAGGCATCCTACTCTGTTCTTTTAAATTCTCCTTTTGCCTTTGAGGCTGGGGACTGCTAAGGGAAATTTTCCCCCATATTGGAACCCAAAGTGAGGGATGCTTCCCTCCATCCATTTGTGAAGAAACGGTGACAACTTTGTTGGCTTCAAAGTGTGCAACTCAGGGGTTTGCAATTGTGTCAACAAGTTGAGAAATTTAGGCTACTGTTTTGAGTTATGTCTGCAGGGTATGAGGGTTCTGCTTTGATCATTATGATGAGGTCAGGGGTAACAGCATCTTCATGGTGAAACTGGCATTTCGGTAGTCTGTTCTTGTGGCTGTTGGAGAAGAGTTCTGAAACTGAGAATAGTTCATTTTAAAAGGGCTATCATCACCATAGCAACATTATGTTATGATAGCTATATTTCTTCATATCAAGTTCTGCTCTAAGCTCTTTAAGTGTGGCCTTTCCTTTAACCCCTTGTAACTAGATAAGGGTACAACTGTACACATTTCACAGATAATGAAACCAAGTCACAAGAGCAGTTCAATAAGCTGCTCAGTGTCGTATATCTAGTAATTTTGGAGTCATGAGGTCATTGGTGATCTTAATCCACAACACACGCTGGGATACCTGTGCCATGCTGCTGCTCTCTAGTTATTGTCACACATCAGGGATACTTCTTAATAAAAACTTGATTTTGCCTTTGGGAATGCTAGCATCTGATATAAAGCCATAGAGTGATTTCGGCTGTCTGTGAGATCAGGGAGTGTTTAGTATTAGAGACTTGGCATCCATTCAGAACTTTTGTTAAATGGAGCCGAACTGAAGTGATGGGAATAGGTTCCCAGCTGTCTCAGTTCCACCTTGCACTCAGAAGGTAGCTGTGGGTGGTAGATCAGAGCAGGGCTGGCAGACTCTGTGCACATATAGGTAGTGCATAAGTGCACAAGACATACAGGTGTGGAAAGAACATTGAGGAATGTGATGTATCGTGGATTGGACTTGCATAGGAATATTTACAGGTCAGCTATTGGGTCTGAACCTATGAATTTTCTTTCCTCCCTATGCCCACTGAAGCTTTTTATTTTTAATTCAAAAAACTGAAATACCAAACTTTTAACTTTTGTTCTATATATTGAAGCATGCTAGAACTCCTTTAGCTACTGTCAGCTCCATCCATTCCAATCATATTTACATTCTTTCCTCTTAAAAAAGTAGTAGAAAGTTTAAGCCACATGAGATGAACTAAGTCTTTGGCTCTTTGATTATTACTAGTAAACATCTGTACCACAAACAAGGTGGTTCCCCTTGCATTTATATAATTTTTATGCCTAGAATTACTTGCTGTTTCCAGAACTCAGATTCTTGCAAAGAAACAGGAAGAAAAATCTGGGTACTGGGACTCATGTCTGACTTCTCCAAACTATGGAATTGGAGGCAAGAAGAATGAGACATTGGGCAGGACTAGGTGGCACCATTTTGCAAAATTCTGTTAGAATGCTAATTGTCTGGTGTCTATGCATTCATGCAACCTTATTGAATTCAGGATAGCTTTGTATGGTAAGGCTATGGCTAGCCTAGATGTTTAATGTCAGTCAGTTTAGTCCACCAGGAAAGAGACTGCGTGTTACCACAGCTGACCATAACATCAATCGCAGCATCTGCATAAGGTTCTCTCTGTTCTGGCTGGAGAAATCCTCTGTAATATCCAGTGGACTAAGCCCTTGTGCCCAGAGCAGCTGTAAAGGCTTGTTGAGTTGACGTTCATCAAATTTCTGCCAGTACAGGAGTTCTCAGAAGCCTTTCCTGCCTCAAGCAGTGACTGGAGGTCCTGGATGGCTTTATATATGCATTCTGAGATGTGGTTATTTTAATTTAGCAGGGTCCCATGTCCGGCAGTGGACACAGTTTAATTAAGCTTTCCTGGAGAGACTGTTTCGCTCATTTGCTTCCTAGCACCAGGGGCGGCAATGCAGATTGTCTAGCTTAACCCCCTCGGTGCTCAGAGGTGTTTGTTCCCTTCATGCCAGAAGCATGTTGTGGTCACATTTCCATCATCTAAGGTCTTTGAGGATCTTGTTTTTTACTTGGCGGCTGGATGTCTATCAGTTCCTAGTTTTCTTCCTATTTCAAACTTGCTGTTGGAAATCTTCCTCTGTGTCTCTCTTCTAGTGTTCTTGGAGTGGCTAGAATATAAATCTTTACATTTGCTATCAACTTGTTAGAAAATGTAAATATGTTTTAAATAGATATCCTAATCTCAGTCCAATATTCTTAATAGAGTAGGAAATTCTAAGGATACACAGATGCGTGTACACACACACACACACACACACGCACACATATTCACAGACACACACAAACACAGATACACACACATATACAGATATACACACAGACACACAGAGATGCATATATATGTATATATGTATATACACAGACACATACAGAGACATGCATACACACACACACACACAGACACACACACATACAGACACAGCGACAGGTATACACACACACACACACACACACACACACACACACACACGCACACACACATACAATCTGAAGTCCACAGGATAGTTTTAAAGCATAGCATAGTCAATTTGTTTAGTGCATAGATGCAGCACAAATGTCAAAATTATTAATTATATAGAATGTTTATTTGATGGATTAACTTTCTGCACAACAAAGGCTTTGGGACACTCAAGCTCCTTGTCCACTGTCACAGGGGCCTTCTCTGTTCTTGACAGTGGAAGCCAGTGCTCACAAAGAGGGTCTCAAGGGAGAAGGGAAGGTGGGAAGTTGGCCACAATGTCTGACTCTTCTGGCAGAGCATCCTTAATATTGCTTTTGAATGAATCTGTATATAGACCTTTGGGAAAGAATTTCAGATGGATGTGGAAATAGTCGATCATTCCCAAGTTAAACAGTTTGGTTGGGGAAATAAGTAATTTTTTTCTCTGAATAAACTTCACAAAACATCATAAAATCACAATGCATTTTACATTGATTCATGAGCTCTTCTTAAGTTTCCACAAATGAACACATTTCCTTACATTGAGACATGAATGGCAATTTAAAACTGGTTTCATGGATAACTCATTTTCGCCATTTTTTTTCCCCCTCGACTTCACCTACTTGTTAAACCTAAAGGCAGTGAAAGAAAGTTTGACAGCTTTAATGCTGACACTTGTCCCTCCCTGGACTTAGGACACTTATTGCTGTCACTCAGGAGCTGCACATGTAAAGGAGGGAAAATGTTATGGAAGTAGCTTCCAAAGTTGATTCACAAGTGCTGTTACACTCCATCCAGCTTTGGAACAATAGCAATGTGCAGTCAATAATGCGTTATATTTCCCCCACCAAGGAGGTGGCTGGTCAGGCTCAAAGGGTACTGTAAATATCGTCATTTATGACATTTAGCTATTTCCTTATTGACTAAGGGACATTGTTGTTCTTGAGGAGATGCTGGCAGCTAGCCAACTTATGCTGAAATTTGGGAAAATATCTCAACATGTCCATTTTGTGGTTCTGAAGGGAATTCAGGGGGATAGATCCTATAGGATTAAAACAAATTGTTGGTGACTGGACTTATCAATAATACAACATGTAGAGATGGTAATCTGAGGAGTACATTAGTTTTGTGGGAAGCTATAAAGCCTGAAGCAAAAAATATGTGTTCTCTATAATAGATGTAGGCAGATGGTAAGAGGTGGGAATGCTACTATCCCATTGCACAGTTTAAGGTTACAAAGCCCAATATAGCACACACTAAAAAAGGTAAATTAAATCCCTTTTAACAAAAACAAATACAGCAACCCCTAAGTTCTTTGTTGCCAAGAAGTATTACATAATTATTCTGAAATTATCTTTATTATCAATTGTTTTTCCCTGGACATTGGGGTAACAGAAGACAGAGGAAATCGAGGTAAATTAGGCACATAGAAAATAAAAAGCATGTAGCCATTTTTTTTTACATTGTAACATATTTCTGCGCTAAGAGTAAATAAAAAAAAATCAATGTCAACTTGGCATAACAAGCATGCTGACACTAACCAGTTCCTCATATCACTGTGATATTGTAGATGTCACACTGTTAGCTGAGAATTTAATAATGGTTGATGTACATAGAGTATGTATAAATCAGTTATTCTTATGAAATGAAGCATTTAGACACTGTTTTCTATTTTGACTAACAAATAAGTGAACCACAGAAAAGCACTCTAGTGCTATAGACGTTATAGTGAATAATGGTTGCCTACTGATAAATAGCATAATCTAATTTTAAAAACATAAACATTTGGCTAAGAAGTAATTTTTTTCACTTTTAAACCAACTACTTTGCTGCTTTATTAACTTTTACTAAAAGTTTTGCAGATTTAAGTGGAGACTAAAAGTAAAACTATTTTTAGAGACTTACATTTATTCCCATTAAACTTTTTTAACTTTCTAAATTATGTTTTCTCTAGTTTTTAGTGAGTTTTGTTGAATAATAAAGTAAGTAACAGCAATAACATATGAGATCTTGTTGTATGATATACAGCTTTCCAGCAGATGATGCTTGCTTAGATTTTAGAGTTTTCAAGGTAACTATTTAATAAACCACTGTTTGTATCCATAAAATAAAACCCTTCCTCCCCAATATGCCAAATTAAAACACACACACACACACACACACACACACACACACACATGCACACATTCCCATTATCATTAGCTCACCGATACACGCTATGGGCCATTTACTATATATTATTTTATAGCTTTTCCAATGTAGTTTAGTTAACACTTTAGAAATATGTATTATTTCTAAGTTCATATGCCTGTTTAAACTTCATTATCTCAAATGATACTGACAGAATGTCATGAAACAGTATCATAATATACATATAGACATTATTTTGATGCAATAAACATGTGATTTTTAAGACTTTCTTAATAAACACACATGTTTATTCTTGGCTATAACATGTTTCTGCAAGTGCCATACCTATATTTTGCAAGTTTCTATTTACATGATGAGATAGTTTTGCTGACTGTGTTGCTTGGAAATCTCCTTATAATTAGGAACGAGAGCCCTCACAGATGAAGCCAAGCCAGTGTTCCTCCCTCTAGGAAACTCTCCTTCACCAAATTGACAAACTGTAAAACATGGGTTTGGCACTGAAACATGCATTTTTATATTTTTGCTCCTTATAAACCAGATAACACATGAGATGCAATGCAACTTCCACAAAAGTCCACCTGTGTTGATGGCGTCTCTGAGCATATGGCCGTGCGACCAGCACTAGATGTATAGACTGTGCTGCGGTGGCGATTGCATCTTATGTGGGATGTATCTGGTGTTTTATTATTTGTTTTAGAGTGTCATTTCAATGTAATGTGCTGTTCTTTGTGTCTTTGTTGTCTCTTTTTTTTCTTTGTCCCCCCAACAGCATTTTGTCCCGCACAGGGAAGAAGGAAAACCAAGATGCCTCCAATTTGACAGTGCCCATGACCATGTGTCTTTTTCCTGTGCCATTCCCACTCACCCCATCTCTAAGACCGCAGGTCAGTTCCATCAACCCTACTGTTACTCGCTCCCTCCTTTACAGCGTCCTGCGAGATGCTCCTTCAGAACGCGGCCCGCAAAGTCGTGATGCTCAGTTGTCAGACTACCCTTCTTTGGACTACCAAGGCCTCTACGTGACTTTGGTGACTCTTCTGGATCTAGTTCCTTTACTACAGCATGGCCAACACGGTGAGCGTTTTTACTGAAGTCTTTGGAAATGTTCATGTCTGCTTGTGAATATTTATGATGCTGAGCAGCGGGCTTGGAGAATATTGTTACTGTTGTAAATCTCTTGAAGGGTTTTGTGTATTCGAAGCCTTTCTGACAATGAAACTTAATAATGGCGTTTCCCATCCAGTCTTCACAGTGTCTCGATGCCCAGGGCTGTTATTCAAGGGCTTGGAAGTAGGAGGCAATGGGCTAGAGACAGGGGGCTGTAGCGAGCAGCTCCTGTCCCTGATCAGTTTATTGTGGGAACTCTTGTGGGAGCCACAATTGAGAGCTGAGTTTAGATTAAAACCGTGTCCCAGAAAATGTAAGAGGTTGTGCTTGAAGAGCAGGCTCTCTAATACTTGACTGTTCTGGGAGTTTCAGGGGCCAATCAAAGTTTCTCTCTGGGACTCATTTTTCCTGGTAAAAACAAATGCCTAAGACCTCTTCCAAATTCATGTAACAACCAGCAATTAACTGCAAAATGCTAGGGCAAGAGTTGGGGCACATGGCATGCCAGTGGTGTTTAGAGCAGAAACGATGAGCATGCCTCCTCTCTCCACCCCATGTGACCTTGTCTTTTCATTGGCTGCCCCTTCCGTTCCTCAGCTCCACACAGAGGAGTGCAGCGATGTCTGCGTAGCTATCCAATATGGATTTGGGGGAAATTAATAATTAAAAACTATGTGGGAAGGACAGGTTTGTTTCTTAAACCTGAGCTGTCTTTGAAACATTGTCCATTTGGTCCCTGGAAGTGTGATAACCGAAGTTTCATTGTACAGAAAAGCCTGCTTTGGAAACGGGGGTGGGGTGGGGTGGGGGGTGGAGGGTGGTGGTGGTGGTGGTGGTGGGGATTGTTTTATTTTTTTAATATGGCTGTCTGACCTAAAAAGAAAAATGCTTAATGCTGATTTGGTATGGAGTGTTTATAATTAAAACTTTTTGAAAATGGTTTTCCTTTCATAAAGTGATGAAATAATATTACCGAATTTGCCTTGCTTGTATTTACAATGCTGTGTTACAGTGAAGACAGTAGAAACCTGTGAAGTTGCTTATCTTGAACTCTTGCTGTCTTAAACCTGCCTAGCCTGTTGTACTACAATCCTCTGCCAACTCAGATCCTAACTGAGACAAATTGGAAAGTCAGATTGCGGGAGCTTGCAGGTGTCAAGTGACATGCCTGCGCTGTGTGGTACCCAGGTCTAAATTCATCAGGGACTCATGTGTTCCTGGGAAGGTCCACTGGGTCAGTGTAGATGCCCTTTATTCTTAAGGTTTCTTGATTGTGGTATTTAACTTGGTAAATGGCAGTTCACATAATGTGTGAATCTTGACAATTTTAGTATGGATGATTTATGTTTTTGCTCTCATGCCTATGACGGCCGTGTGACCTTATCTTGATATTTATTTATTGTGTCCTTCTGCATAATGCAGCTTAGAAGCTGGGATAAAGCTCACCAGTCCATTCTAGTGAATGGCTTAGAGAGCCCAAGCAGTGCTGTTCCCCTCATGGCTGGCTGCATGACCTGGGCCGTAAGGGACTTGGAATGTGCAGTTCTTCTGTGAGAATCAGAGTGGTCCTGCCAGCTGATGTTTTGAGTGAGCTTCCTGTGAAGCATCTTCTGTGAACTGACTGACTGCTCCATGGCTAGAGGCTCTGTCTCACTTTGGGTCTGGGTGGCCCATAGGGGCGAATGAGAGTTGTTCAACTATGGGTGAACTGTGATTCAGGCAGTCACTACTCTCTCCAGATCTCAGTTTCCTTGGGTAGAAAATACCCCAGGCGGACTTCCAGGCACTTTCCGTGCCATTAATCTGAAATTAGGTTTTTTTTTTTTTTTTTTTTTTTTGCCTAAGGCTAAAAAAGGCCGAGTGAATAGAGCTGAGGTGTCTCTCACGCACAGTCTCGTGAAATTCGCACAATAACATCTGTGAATTTCCCACTTGTTGGTCTGGGCTCAAAGGCCCTCTAGGTTGCATATTGACTACATTGTCAGCTGACAGGCCAGTTGATATGGCATGTTAATTCTCATGACTATTAGAAATAATTTGAGGAACGCACATGATTCTGGAAGACAAGTCAGGGCCAAAGCAGACCAGAGTCTGAGATTTCTCTATCTTAATGAACACAGAGGCAATCCACCTTCATGTCAAGCCTTGGCTGAGGGCCGATATTTTGAGAGGTTCAGAAATATCACAATGTACACTGAATATAATGGGTTTATTCTTCATACATTCTAAAGCTAAAGAGTTGTAGTTTGTTTTGAAGGTCCTCTATTTTTACTCCTCATGCAGGTAACAATGATAGTAATATTAATGGCAATAAGTAATAACTAATGTTTTTGGAGTACATGCTATGCTGAGCTCTTTGTATTCATTTCTTCTAAACTCCTATAAAGCCAGGTAGGTATTTTTATTATCCGCATTTTAAAGCCTTGGGAGATTATTTTGAGGAGGGCTGGCTTTCCTGACAATTAACAGCTAAATGCTCTTGTGCAGGGCCAGCTCAAATCTTCCTCTCTGTGGAGCACACCAAGTCTGGAGGTTATAAACTACCTCACTGCCCAAGACTTAGATGTAGGACCAGCGTGGCTTTGTCAGTGTAGCAGAAATAGCCAGGGTTTGACTTATAATACGTCCCTGGACTTGTTTTGAAAATTCTAGTGGGCACATCACTGTACTCCAGTTATCTTTATGGGTGTCAGCATTCACTTGGAAAGTGCTTTGATTCATGGGATCAAGGACCCACAGCGAGGCTTATAGATGACTGATACACTGATGAGAAACTCATGGAACAGATATATTTCTTAATATATTCACCAACTATCTGCTGTGTACACCCCACATTCTACTAAGCAGTGCATTTCTGAACTCTTAGTAGGGGAAACAGCGGCTTTTATAATTTAAGCCAGCTTATTAAAACTTAAGATATAAAAGTAGCATGTTTTGTTACTGGCACCGTCTTCAGTGGCTGACTACATAATTTTGTTTTGTAGATCTTGGACAGTCAATATTTTATACAACCACGTGTTTGCTACCCTTTCTCAGTGATGATGTTCTGAGCACTTTGCCCTACACGATGATCTCAACGCTAGCTACCTTTCCTCCATTTCTTCATAAGGATATTATTGAATACCTTAGCACATCTTTTCTACCAATGGCCATATGTAAGTTCAACCTCACCTAACCCTAAAACTCTCTTTATGAAAACCGTGTTTACTCTTACAGGCACTTGATTTTCAAGGTTGTAACGAAATCACTTGATCCGTATACCTGCTATGATTTAATTTCCATTGTTTCAGCATTTACGTTGAGTTGGAAGTCAATGATGTGCAAGACAGTTATATCTTAGAATTATGTTATTCACTCAGTTTGCCCCCATGGAATAGGAAGAAAGAAGGTGTCAGAGCCTTCTGTGTTTGCTGCTTATACATTGCAATGTCTTTTCCCACATTAGAAAAGGAGCTGGACAGAGTGTCATCTGTTGTGGAGACTGCTCACTTCTGCATGTGAGGGCATGGGGTGGGAGGGGAGAAGGTATGTGTGGGGGACGGAGAGGGAAGCAGAGTGGGGAAAGGTAGGCTCTGGCTCCAGTTCTTTCTCAGGTTGCTGTGGAAATGTTGTACTGCTCACTTCGCGTAGTTGAAATCTCATTTCACGTGGTTGAAATCTAAATTGATACTGATGACTGGACTAGCTTTTCCTTCTCGGTATTTTGATGACAAAATGAGTCAAAATTTACAACACATTTTGAAAGAAGCTAAAGCCCATGGCTCCAGTGTAAGATACAGTCACAAGCCTGGGACCGGTCTTGTCTAGTAATATTTTTGGAGACAGGGCCTTGTCACTCCAGGTCAGCCTGGACCTTGATTGATTATGTAGTCATGAATGGCTTTGGATTCTTGAGCTGCTGTCTTGTGCTGGGATTATGGGTGTGTGCCACTGTACTTGACTTTACTACTTTTATAGAAAATTCTGCAGGGTCCTCAGACATGGAAACAAAGAGAAGGCAATGCTGAGTTGCAGCTTCTAAAATCAGTCTCTGAAGTGTTCTTTATCCATGGATTATGGATTAACCTATGTTTCAGGGAATAATCTGAAAAAATTACGGATTTAGAATTCAACCCGATAAGATACAGACTCAGCTCTGCCACTGGCTACTTACTCGAGCTCAGGCGGGTGACTTAAGTCTTTGATTTTTATCTATAAAATAGTAAGCTTTCTTGTGAATAGTAACCTTAGCTCTTGCATGAATAGTAATTGTGGCTGTATTTGAGGTGTCATGGGTTAGTGTGATTACCTGGGACACTGGTAAAGTGCCATCTCAGAGCCTGCTGAATAGTAAGTCTTATTTACTCCTCATTCTCTCTCTCTCTCTCTCTCTTAAAAATAGGGGTCTCCTATGTACCCTGGCTGGTCCGGTATTATGTCACTCATGGCTATTCTCCTGCCTCAGCCTCCTGAATACTGGGACTATAGGTGTGCACCACATTACCTGCTTTTCTTCTCTTGATTTTTTTAAAAACAAAAATAGCTCCACTAGGCATGTCTAACTCCTCATATCGATGCTAGCCACATTAAGTTAGGTTCTTACGCCCTTGTTAAAGTTGTTGTGTGCCAACAACTGGCAGACATGTGTACCTTTTGGGCTACACTGGCTTACCTCGTAGTTGGGCTTAATTTAGGTATACAACTGTAATTTTTATGTCTTTTTTAGCAAAGAGTAAGACTATTTAAAAATATTCAGCAAGTATTTAATGTTGCTAAAAAGCAACACTTAGCAAGTATTTAGATATAAAATATTTGCCGGAATATCCTAATTATCTGACAACAGGGGAAAATGAGCAGACTGGTGATGTCACTCCTAGTTGTAGAATATTTTACTCTCTGTTTCACCTGTGTGGTCTCATGAATCACTGCTCGTGTCTTATGGACACAGTCTTAGAATTTTGTGATCTTACTTTTAAATCGATAATGTTGACTTAAGTAAATGAACAGGCATCTGCAAGAAAAGAAAGACCAGCAGAGAGAGTATCTTCCTGATAATAATCTAGCTCACTGTGTCCCTAGCTCTGTTAATGTAGTCAGCGTCAGCTTCTCACTACACTGAAGATTGATCAGGTATCGCCAGCTTCTTTGTTGTTGGTGGTGTTTTTTTTTTTTCCAGAGCTGGTGACTAATTCCTCCTTAATTACAAATAGAGATTTCCAGACATAAGCCTTGTCATGTTGAAATCCTTTCTTTACACAAATATCTCGAGCAACTGAGTATCAAAAATTGAGTGTTGCAAATCTAAAATATATTTTGTGAATTTCAGTGTCTTTTAGTGGAATAACTTGATATTCACTTGAAGGTATGGACAAGTCATTTCATGTCTCTGAGACGTGATTTTTTCCTTCCAGCTTTCAAGTGGGGGTGTTCAGAAAATAATTTGAACCTCCTTGGTTCTTTCTGGCTTAATAATGCTAGGTTGAATAACATCAATGTTATTTTACATAATTGGTGCATACCTTTGTTTAACCCATTGGCATACTTGGCTCGTGTGTTTATTTTGTCACTCTGACTTTAGTCTGCTAGTTTGGGCTTGGCTTCTCAGCACCCTCCTGGTAGTTCGATAGCAGTCGATCTTTGTCATCTTTGCAGTGAGTTGTAGTGGTGGTCTGCATGCCAGCTGTTAGATTATTGAGTTGTGTCTTTGCACATAGACCTAAAGACAGAAGGGATGGACTTTCAGATTCCTGTTAGGATGGGCTGCGGTGAGGATGTGGGTCTTGTCATTTCCTCCACACTGTTTCTATTGTTGGTAGTTGTTAGAGTTTCACACTGAAACAGGACAGGGACATTTAACTTGGTCCGGAATAGTTTTATTTCAGTACAAAGATGTTAGAATAGAAGATGTTGCATTTTCTGAATGCTTGATAGTCTTTACCAGAAGGACTTGCTGGGCATGAAGGTGCAGATTTGTATTGCTAGCACTTGGGAGGATGAAGCAGGAGGATCACTACAAGTTCAAGGTCAAGGAGACCCTGTTACAAACAACAAAACAACACAAAACAAAATTGACAGGAAGATGTTTTAAAAAAAATCTCTCTTTGGTATGGTATTCTTATAGGCAGTGTAAAGCATGGGGTTTTTCTTTTCACTTTTTAAATGAGTATCATTAATGATTATATAACTACTGGTTGTATAATTAGTGATCGTATCATTGTCTGTATTACTTAGATGATGCAGTTTGGAGCTTTGAAGTGGATCCAATTCTTCAAAGCAAGCATTGGATGCGTAGCATACATAATGTTCATGCCATCTCTGTCACCACACTAATTGCTTAATGCCTTAATTGCTTTTAAATAACTCACCAATTTATTATAAAAATTTACCTTGATTTATTTTTTAGTAACTCCTTCCATAAATAAAATATTGCACTCTTTATTCTATATTCATGGAATCTACATTGTTTATGAAAGTATATTGAAAGAGTTGTTAAGGATTGAAAAACCAAATTATTTGCACATCACCATGGAAACCTCTCTTTTTCCAATAAAGGATTTGTTGTTCAAATTGAAATACGGATCTTTGGAAGATGATGCTTCGATATAATTTAAATAAGCATCCATTAATGTGGGCTGTCTTATTTTGAAGAAAGAAACAATGTTGAGGAATTGCACTGTCCTGGACTGTGCTATCTAATCCAGTTTCTTTCCTACCTTAGATATTCTAAGTCACTGATCTTTAGGAAAAAGAAAGGCTCATTCAAATCCTTGTGTTGGTTTAAAAACAACTGTACAACTTCACTGAATGTCTGGTTCCAGGCTTTGGTTTTTATTGCTGGGTTTCGGCTACCACACGGAGCACATGGTATAGTTCTGTGATCTACCACACAGAGCACATGGTATAGTTCTGTGATCTACCACACAGAGCACATGGTATAGTTCTGTGATCTACCACACAAAGCACATGGTATAGTTCTGTGATCTACCACACAGAGCACATGGTATAGTTCTGTGGTCTTATGAAGACTAATCTTACACAGAAAAAAAGACAAACTCTTGATGATATTTGAATAACCATTATCATGCATGCATAGTCTACTTATTCACTAATGATTGTGTTCACAAGGTAGGTGCTGCTGTAAGAGCTTTTTGTTGAACTGTGAGTAATGTTTGGTACCAGGATTCGTAGGGGGCAGCACTATAATCCTTTGGCTTTTCATAACTCTCCCTTATTCAACTTATTTCCTTAGATATAGGATTGTCAGTAATTATAACTCACCCTATCTATATCCCATCTTTGTTGTGAAGACCATGAGAGGAAGGCCACATGAGACTGGAATTTGAATATTCTATGATGTGCAAATACATAATGGAACAAATGCACAGGCAAATCATAGACATATTCATCAAATCACATTGCGATGAACCCTGATGCTTCTCTGTTGAGATTGTCCATGTTGTTCTGAAGATTTTTCCCTCTTAAACACACTGCTGAGACAAAGGGCCATTCAGGAGAAGTCAGGACCTTCCCTGGCTAGGTTTGTCACTAAAGATCTCAGCATGCTATGCACTCAGTACTCGAGGAGTTGGGCATCTTGCTTCACTAACCCAACTAGCAAGTATTTTGATGCTGCAAAGACTTCAGTGTCATGTGACCCTGGTATTGCTTTTTAGTTTAGCTGATGCCTTCTGAAGTCACGGCTGTCTCCAACAGACCTTTCTTAATAGACTACAGTTATCTCTGCTTGCACAAGCCCGAAGCCTACAAAAGAGGCCACCTCTCTATCCAGATAATGCTATCTGGCCTACTGTAGGAAGTGGCTATGTCATGTGTCCTAGGAGTTTCTTCACCCTAGGTGACTTTCTGATCTTTATCATTTAGAAGACTATAAGACAAATGGGGTTTATTTCAACCCATTTTACCTTAGACTATGCCTTATGGTGGTCATTTGGATTAGACCACCAAATGGCGGTCTAATAGCTTCAAGCCTGGTCTCTCTACTTCTTTGCTTAAGTTTCCTACTGTCATCTGTTCTTTACCCCAAACCTAGAGTTGCTTTCCAAACATGTAGATTAGATCATGGTATGCCCTGCTTTGTGTCACTTTAACAATCAAGTAAAATTCTGTGCAGCCTCACACTGTAGCCATTACCACACAGGGTTACTAAGCACATGTGATGTCTCTAGTGAAGCCGGAGAATGCAATTTTAAATCTTATTTAATCTTAGCTAATATACATAGCTACCTACCATTAATGGCCACCACACAGCATAACCCAGTTCTGGCAACAGAATTCTTTACCGCTGTAACCAAGAGCCAAGAATGATGCCTGGTGCAATTTTATGACAAAACGTAGTGTGTGACTGAGTGATTGGAGTGTTAGCTATGAATGCGTTAGTCCTGGACTGCCATTGTCCCAGTAGTTAGGCTGGTGCATTCCAGCGGCTAGTTCACATCTCACTAATAAAATGGCTGTTGTCATCTGCTTACTTTTAAAGGTAAGAATCATATAAGAATTGCACGTCTAGCACATTAGGAATTATCAAATACAGGTACATGCTAAAGGACTGGTACTGTTCATGCGAGGAAGGCGCGATGGTAATTTATTTTTTCTCGTGCCATTGGGGGACTAAGGGGAAGGCCTGGAAACTTGTAATTATATTTCCTGAGAACAATAACCTTCCCTTTTAATTGTATGTGCTTTTGTTCTTTTGTGCTCTCATGGGATCGAGCTGCGATTCTGTTTACATGATGCCTCTTAAACAAGATTCAGTAAATGATGTGTGCTTGTTCATGCTTATTACATTAGAGCCATGGTGATTTTATTCAGTCTTGTAGAAGGCTTTGAAATTGCAAGATACTGTCTGTTTATATAAGTATTGGAGCCAATTTCCTGGGGCTTGTGTCCTAGGGGAACTCTTTTGGCTTTATGGATGGTCATACTTGAGGGACAGCATAGATTTGCAGAGGTAACAGGGACATCCAAAGGTCACTGAGTCATCTGGGCAGCTCTCCAAACAGACTTCACTTAAATCATCTGAGACAGTTGGGCATCTCTCACATTTTTAAAGGCCTCTGGGCACAGTGGCTCCCAGTCTAACAGTTTTCATTGTTGAAAAAATGCTTATTATTAAAAAGTTTGAGTTGGATTTAAATAAAGGTGAAAACACTTGTCACCAAAAGAATATACATGTGCCAAGAGAGGGGTGGAGAAGAGAGGAGAGGAGAGGGAGGGAGGGAGGGCAGAATGGAGGGCAGGAGAGAGAGAGAGACTTCCGTTGTTGAGTATGTTGGAGTAGGCATGCCTTTTTTCTTCAACAAACGGCACAGGAATATTGTGTAAGTGCTTTCTCTTCCTAGCCTTTGTATTGGATGGGCATTCCCTTGCTTACCTCTCACTCTCTAATGATACAGATCCAAGGCCAGCTTGCATGAGAGCCAGTGATGTGCTTATTAATTTAACAGAGTTCCCGATTTCCCACACTGGCTGAGCTGGGATCTCCAGGTGTGGGCCATAGGAAGCTGAATTAGAAAAGGCTAAAGATGGAAAGCAATGGGTCTCATTCTCCAGCATTTGATTCGCAGCCCTTCCTTCCTCCGTTTGTCTCATTTGATTAGTCACCTTCACTCTCTCAGAGCAGTGTAATGCCCTCTGTATCAATCCTTGTCTGCTTATCGGCATTTGTTTATAGTGTAGAGTGAGACAGATCTGTGTCCCTGAGTACCACCTGCCCTGTGAATTAGACACACACAGCCGGAGGTGATTAATAAAGGTGGACTCAGGCTAGCGGGACTCAGGGTACCTGTTTTGTTGTTTTGCTTCCCCCAACCTGATGCAAAGACTGCTGTCCTTCATAGCATCCGAAGTGCTTGATATGGAAACAAAATAGAATCCTGTTAAACTTTCACTGTCTCTACTATTGCAAGGTGATTTCTTTAATGTTTCTGTTTACTGAGTGTCTTATTGCACTGCCTTGTTCTTTTTAGATGTAAATGACACCTGCTCCCATAGATGGCACTTAAGTACAAAACAAAGCAGAATTTGAGGTTATCTGCTTTTTGCTGACTGTCTGCAGTAGTGGTCTTTAATGTGTAGAAAACTGTTGACTTGGTGAGTTCTTCTGGGTGCTAGGTGGTTGTTGTTGTTGTTTCTGTTTGGCAGCTTGGTGTACAAGCACATCTGTAACAGGTTCCTCCTACCTCTGTGGGAAAAAGGAATTCATTTTATATTTTAATCTTGGTAAGAAGTCTTCCTTTCTTGGGGGGTCCTACCTCAGTTCTTTCTGGGATAGAAAATAAACTTTGGCTAAAGTTACCAAACAACTTCCATCGGAGCTAGTTTTGAATACTTCCAGAGCGACCTAGTATTTTTCTATTAAAAACAGACAATTTTAATATAGAGTTTGACACCACTTAAAGATGTGTTTGAATCAGTGTACAAGTGGATATTACGGTTATATAGCACTTAGGTGAATTTTTGAAGACACCTACTTTCTTTGCAATTGGACATTTGTTGGTGTAGGATAAAAATCACAGTTATGCACAGATTCAAAGAAGTGCTTTGTTCCAGGCAACACAGGTCGATGTGAGGAGGATAGACTGTGGAAAACTGCAAGTGATTTCTCATGGCAATAAAGACACTGATGGGTTCCATGGGAAGGTTGGAATACGGCTGTGTAGTCACTGAAAACTGTTTAAAACCCGATGTGATCATTTTCATAATACATGACTTAGTGTTTGTATGTATAACTAAACAAGAGGTTACACGTTATATGAAGCTTGTTTGCCCACCTCTCCAAGTGTTAATATGTTCTAGCTGGGTTCAAAAATCTTCTACTTTCTTATGAGGTTAACCGCTAACATGTTTATGTGCCCTTTATATTTGGGCCCAACAGAAGGTTCTATTTTCTTCCTTTCCTTTATAGATGTGGACATATTAGGAACAGAGGCCACGTCTAAGTTCAGCTCTGACAAAGCCATTACATTCTGGTTTTGTACCTTTTCCATGTGGCTCTGCTCTAGATGTTTTATAGTGGCATGCGATGGTGGCATTTGTATGCAAGGACCCTTTCTGTGGTTTTCTTTCTGTGAACTTCTATGCATTTGAGGATGGGGAAGTGGCTTAGTTTGTGGAGTGTTTCCCTCACACGCAAAAAGCCCGGGGTTTGATTGCCAGCATTCCATACATGCCTGTACCCCAGCTCTGAGAGGTGGAGGCAGGAGGATCAGGAATTCAAAGTCACCCTGACTACATGGAAAGTTTAAGGCTAGCCTGGGGTACATGAGACTAACATCTTAAAAAAGGAGGAAAGAAAAAGTGAGTAGTCCCTCAGTTCAGTTGGAGCTTTCTCTTGAAGCTCTTTTGTGGTTCTATGTAAGGTAGCAATTATGTGCTCATATCTAGAAATTAATTTGTATCTAATCAGAAAATTTTGATTTCAGTGGGGTCCTCCAGGAGAGAAAGTGTCCCAGCCCATGTGAACCTCTCCGCATCCGCCATGCTAATGATTGCAATGCAGTACACATCTAATCCAGGTAAGCAGAAACCCGACAGCTTGAGCAGCTCCAAATCTGTCACGAACGAGGTGACATCTAATGAACAGGGTAGACTTTTTCACATGGGAACTTCTCTAGGCAGAAGAGACAAGCGATGTGTTAAAAACAAGCCTCTGAGTTAAAATAAATGTATCTATTGCTAGTAGAAGTGATTTGGTTTGCTAGGGAACATTTTAGAATGTTTGAGGATGAAGCGTTAATGCCTGGAAGTTGATGACTATATAGAAAATTTCAGCTAAAAATATAGAGCCGGGTTTACAGAGTAATCTCTAGCCTGGGCTACAGGGTGAAATCTTGTCTATACACACACAGACACACACACACACACACACACACACACACACACAGACATACCCACACTGAATATTACATGTATTGACTCATATGCATACATATATATGTATTGTAAATATTTACTGTAGTAACAGCTATTGATAACTAGCTGATAATGGTTTGGGTAAATTTGCTTTGCTAATGCCACAGCAATATCTCTGAACATGTCTTATTACCAAGTTTTAGGTTTCTCATAGGGCAAACAGATGAAGAGGGATGCATGATTTAAAGGGTTAGGAACATTTTAGTATTCTTGTAATTGTGTGAGAGCAAACAGTTGTGCTTAAAAGTCGTACTGGAGTTGAGTAGCTGAAGAATGACTGCCCACTTTTGTTCTTGTGCCTTAGGGTGCTTGTGGTGTTAGATGGGCTTGCCCATGATGCACTCTGGTTGTGTTTGTCAGGGTAACTGCTGATTTATCTCGAGGAACTGACCTAAAAGGCAGCTCACTGTTGAAGTGATGTGTTAAGATATGAACTCTGGGCTGGTCAGGCGTTGGTGGCACACACCTTTGATCCCAGCTCTCGGGAGGCAGAAGCAGGCAGACCTCCATGAGTTTGAGGCCAGCCTGGTCTACAGAGTGAGTTCCAGGGCAGCCACGGCAATTACACGGAGAAACCCTGTCTTGCAAAACTGAAAAAAAGAAAAGGAGGGGGGGGGGGAAGATATGTACTCTGTTTTTTACTTTCATGGCATGTTTGCTTGGGAAATGAAACAATTTTTCTGATATTGTTTTTAGTCTATTTAAGTAGCATAATAATTGATTTTTTACTTGAAAACTTTTATTTAAAAAATATTTTATAAATTCTTTGTGACTAATACATCTTAGTCATAGAGTCATCCTGTGTGTGGTTTTGTTGTTGTCTTACTTGAGGCTGTCTGTCTCCTCTCTCTACTGAAGCATGAATGGGTTCTCTGGAGCTTCCGTTATGAAGACATCGGTCATTTGCGAGGCTGCTGTCCTTACTGTCTCCTAAAGACCCTGCCTCCTAACGTTATCATACCGGGGCCTAACATAGATCTTTGGGAACATAGATATTTGATTTATCCGCTTTCTACCCCATCTCCCTAATTTCATGTCCTTTTCCTACCCGAAGTACACTAATTCCATCTTGACAACCCTAAAAGTGTTAATTCATTCTGTTATCAACTCAAAACTCTGAGGCCCAACAGCTCATACATAGAAATACCATCCAAATCCATAACTGTCAGATTTGAGGCAAGACTTATCCCAGAATGAAGTGCTCGTTGGCTGTGTACGTATGAAAGCAAATATATTACATGCTTCCAAAACATCTGTGAGGGCTGGGGCTGCAGCTCACTGGTGGAATGCTTGCTTAGCACAGGGGCAGCTGAGGGTTAAGTCGCTAAACAAAAGCAAACAGGCAAATAAACATAAAAAGCAGTGGTGGACCTAGCCAGAGTGTAGACATCCCACCCCAAGGGGAGAAGGGATGCATTTGAACTCAGCATCAAACCTTAGCCTTGTACATAATCTTCTTCGACTTGATGCCCTTCTTTCGAGACCCACAGTGGTGGCAGTCCTGTCTCCTCTATTGCTTTTAGGAGAAAGGGTTTGGCCCCAATGCCTGTAGTGGTCCTGCCGCCATAGCTTTAGGCAGCCTGGCCTCCATCAGTCTGGTGAGAATTATCTTAGCGGGGGGCTACACTGCCCCTGTGTCTACCTCAACTCCACTCGCATGGTCTGGGGTCCAGTGCCCAATGGCTTTTTAGGGTGTCCTTTGAACTCTAAGTGGAAGTATCCATGAACCCACAGCTTTCCTGTACGTTGTGGACACTACTCTGGTACTCTAAGTGTCTGGAGCGGTCTTTGAAAGGCTGCAATCGGAGTCAGCTGAGCGGCCCCAAGTCCGTACCTGAGTGGGGGAGTGTGGATGAGGGAAAGGCTAGCTATAGACAAGAAAGAAAAGACAGAGAGACAGAATAGAGGTCAGGAGGGCAGATCAGTCAATACTGAAAACCCACAAATTTATTTTTCACCACTCTTACATACCTTGTTCAAAAAAGGGGAACACAGTATCATGCATATGGAACAAACAGACTTTCCTTCCTCACTTATTCTAAGGGTTCAATAACCACACCTCAGCTTCAACTTCGTGTTCCCTAGCCTTGAGGTCAGATTCAGGTCTGTTGTTGTTTAGACTAAGACAGCCAAAGCCACACCTTTGACCTTTAGGTCTTATGACTTGCTGAGGACAGCTTTGAATTCTCTGCCCTTGTGCCAAGATGGAGTGCATCCATCTTTATGGGCACCCACACCCAAGAGCTTCATTTGGCAGCTAAAGAATAAAGCATTAAGTGTAGGTAGGAACTAGGTATAGCCTGCAGCAAGCCCAACTTGCTGGTGGCCCTTTGAAGCCATGCCCCCTGATGGAGGTGCAGTTGAGATGGTTTCTAAGTTGTCTTTAGGCCACAATGCGAAGGCTGACTAATGTGTTTCCTGGCTCCCTGGTCATATACCGCTACAGTGGTCTCTCCTCCAAGGCCTTCTCATCCTTTCAATACAGACAGCCCAAGGAGTTTCCAAACTTTTAATTGATTTCATCTTGATGAACAATTCTGATTGAAGTCATTTCTTTCTTCTAGAATTTCACTGTAAAACTATAAATACTCAGAAAACAATAACAGAAACAGGAACGAAGACATGAACCAGGTCGTCCGTTTGGCACTTTTCTAAGGGTTTCCTCAGCCAGTTTCATCTCTCACAAACTCTACCTCCTGTCGTACTTCAAGACGAGAACATAATGTGACCAAGTTCTTTGTCACTTGATGACAAGGGTGGGCTTTCCTCCAGTATGCAAATGCATGCTCCCTGTTTCCGTCTGACTCCTCATCAGAATTGCCTCTACTGTCCAGTTGTTGTTGTTGTTGTTTTAAAACCAACCTTCAGTTCAGCATACTTCCAGAAGAGTGAGGCTTCCTCTGCTCTTCTCTTCCAAAGCCTTCACACAGTTGTCATTACAGGTCTGTTCACAGCAACGGTGCCTTTTCTAGAATGTACCTCACAAGTCCCTACAATTACCTAATGCCAAAGTGGCTTCCACATTCTTAGGCATTTGTCCCAGTAGCACACCCAGCCCCCGACATCTCTGTACCAGGCCTCTACTTTGGTCTGCTTGGAATTACATTAGTTACTTGTCTCACTGCTGTGGCAGAGTATCCAGCAGAAGCAGCCCTAGGCAGAAAAGGGTCATTTTGACTTGTAGTTTAAGCGGTGCTGAGGTGGCAGGAATGTGAGGCAGCTGCTACATTGCATCCACAGTCAGGAAGCAGAGACAGAGGTGAATGCTGGAGTTCCCATTGCTTTCTGCTCTTAATTCAGTTAAGTGCCTGTCCCATAAAATGGTGCCTCCCGGAGTCTTCCCTTCGCAGGCAAGCATCTCTGGCAGCATCCTTAGAGACACAGCAGTGTGTCTCTTAGGTAGTTCTAATTCACATTCACTTGTTAGTCGAGATTAGCTGCGACAGGGATGCTCTAACAAATACTTCAACATGAGTGGCTTGAATGTATTAAATATTCATTTTTCATGGTTACAGAATCTAGGAAATCCAAGTTCAAGGTTGTCAATAGATTTGCTAGTCTGGTAGGGGCCCATTTCAGGGCTCATAGATGAATTTGTCATGTTCTTGCATAGCAGAAAGGCAAGGGGAGTTTTTTGAAGCTGTTAAAAAATGAGGGCACTGGGCAGGGCCATAGAGAAATGGTTCAGGAGTTAAGAGTGCACACTGTTCTTACGGAGGACCCAGTTCAGTTCTTGGCACCCGTGTTGGCCACCCCACAACTATCTATCACTTCTGCTCCAGGGTATCTAATACTGTCCTCTGGCCTCTATAAGTACTCTACCCATATGTATAACCCCCCATACACAAAATTAAATAATAATACCACCAGTACCACAAAAATATTAAAGTAAAGGACACTGACCCCACTCATGGGGCCTCTGCCTTCATGACCTAATCACATCCTAAAGCCCCACCTCCCAATGATTTCGACAACATACATCCTCAACTATAAATATCTCTGTGATTATGTGGATTTAGTTGAAAAGTTTCTTTTAAGGCAGGCTATAATCTCATATCTCACGGTTTGCCTTAAAAGCTCATTAAAATGCAACTCATATTTATTATATTACATGTCCTGAGAGGATTCTTCATTTAGACACTAGTGAACTAAACTCTAGTTCCAAGGAGTGGGTCCGGATATCAGGCGGCACTGGAGTGGAGTGGACATTTTGAGGTTAGTTGGTTGTGGATCTGTTCCTGGACCTGGTCTGGGGTTTCTCCCTTCATCCTATGGTCTGAGTGGAGGGGAGGAGGCAAGTTTTCATTAAGTGACCTCATAATGAAGAGGGGTGGGGAGGCGGTGCTCACACACTGCTTCTTAACCCCAGGAAAGCGGGCTTCCAGATTCGGGACAGGAGCAATGATGAATGGAAATGGGGTCATAAAAGGAGGGATATTCGTGTCTTCCTGGGACAGGGCAGAACTTCCAGAACCTTCATTGACACTGCTTTCTCATGGTCTGGTGGTTCTGGTCACAGGGGCTGGCAGACAACATCAGTTTTGATGCGAGGAAAGAGAGACTAGGCACGTTCAGCACAAGTTAAATACCTCTGTATTATATT